TCTTACGGACCTGGGAAGATGACAAAAATATTTGCCACTAGACTGTAGTAGACACTGGAGGTTTGAATTGGCCTTAAATGGACTGTACTTAAATGCCCCACTGTGTTCACTGGTTAGCTGCTAACTGTGTTGGTCCGCTGTTTGGTGTGCTGGACAGGTAGTGTATAGTCGGGTTTGGGAGCTTCTTTTAGCTGAAACCAGTTGTCTGCTGTGGATAAAAACAAAGCTGTGAGAGAGAGCCAAAGCAGTAATGTTGCAGCCTGGAAACTGGAACACTGAGCTGAACCACACTAAAAAGCCCCACGGAGTTGAGTGGAACAGCAGAGTCGGGCGATAAGTCCCTGTTGGTTCACCACTATAGGCAACTCTGTTCACATACACCTAGTTGTTAATATAAAGATATTTATTATATAGCAACTTTAATATGGCAGCTGAATGGACTTTGCTATGAGGGCGTTTGCCAACAATTTCAATCTCAAAAAATAAAATTTTAAAGATTCAGTTTCTCACTGTTACCTTGCATAAAGGAACAACATCAAGTGCTTATGACTGAAAGAGACCACAGGGTTTTCTTTCCCCAGTGCTCGTGGCCATAGGTGACTCCTGCCCTGAAGCATCACACACTTCACCCCGAGAAGAGGGCCAGTGAAACCACAGGCCATGTGGCAACATTTTTGTTACAACTGCTCCACCATCTCACGGCATTTTCATTATTTCCAAACCCATGACCTCAAACAATCTGTCTGTTTAGCTCAGTCAGCTGTGGCCTTTGATGTGAGCTCCCCGCTGCTGCAGTCATGTTCATTAGCTAACAACCAATGTTTCTGGAGGAGGAGGAAGGTAGAAGTAGAAGGGGCCACCTTGCTTTCCTTCAGTCTGAATTAATAAATCAAGAAAAGAAACAACACTGCTGATACACAAGCAAGACAAAGAACACAGGCATTTTTACAAGTCTCTGAAGATTAAAGCGCAATGCTGAACCCCTTCTCCAGGTTAACTTCTTTAGGTGGGGTCTTTAAAGACCGCTGCTTTACGAGGTAACAAAACTAAACACATTTGCTGATGGATTCATTAAGTGTGGAAAAAAGGCCCCTGATGGCCATCTGCCAAAAACCTAAAAACAGAAAGAGGAGAGGTAACTTAAGCCCACCAACACAGCATTATTTACCCACACTGCCTGCACAAACATGCAGATGGTAGCAGTGATGGATTAGGCTGGGGTTACCCCAGTCAGGCAACACAGTGACAGAGTGAGTGTTTTTTGGGCAGGGGTGACATGGTAGCTGAAGTGATGAAAGTGAAGTCCAAGAAGGGAGATTTCTGTCCAGCATGCCAAAGAGGATTACGTATCTGGTTTCTCCTGATGCTCTTAATCTGGACCAGAGGGGCCTATTGTCACTTTGCTAAACAACAGATACTGATAGTGTTTGTGCCACATCCAAAGCCAGGTTAACACTGGGGATTATACCAAGGCACTTAGAGTGGGAGGGCCTGGATTAGGGATGCCATTGTAAATTCCTTTGTAAATGTTTTGAGGGCATAATTTTAGTGTGAGAAGTTTACAATATTTAAGGAGTCACATCTCACTCTCTGAGGACTAATGAGTGATGCGAGGGAGCTGTGGGTGGCCAGCAGCCTCCAGTGGACCCAGGTGTGACAAAAACCCAGAGGCCTCGCTTGCTTTACTCTGTGAACCGGTGATGAAGAGAGTGATGAGTCTGTCTCAGAAGAGAGTTGTGTGAAATGGGTCAGTTGGCTACTATCACAGGTGTGGACAGTGGAAAAGGCTGACGGTGACAGAGACTGATGGGATGGCCACTTCTTCACCTTATGTGGGGTAGAAAACACCCTCTATCTACCTATACCTATTTGTCATATGCCAAAATAAAAACTGGTGGATGTTAAACTGCAGGAGATGCAACTAAGAGACAACCAAAGTGTTTGGCATTTTTGATAAAACAAAATTTTGCCAGAGATCAGACTATTATATCCTTTATATGTTATTTTATAATATATAAACAAAACCCTGTGGTGGAACACCTGAAAAAAAAAAACATAAGTTTGTACTGAACTCCAGAGAATTCATATTAGGACACACTGACAGGGCAAAAGCACTGCCCATCTGAATGGATGGCAGCTGATAATAATTTATCAATAACCAAAATAACTGTTGATTAATTTTCTGCTGATCAACTGATAGATATGTGCTTATGGATTTGACCTTGGAGATAGTTTGGCAATAATTCTTAACTCAAGGAATTTCCTAATGGATGGAAAAAAACAATGGTAAAATTCTCACACTCATAACTCATTTCTTTCAACTGATAAATCTCAGTAAAATGCCTTCTTCAGGATAAAATGCAGTACTCACCTGACAGGTATTTATAGTCCCAACTGGGACAGGTGCTACAAATCAGCCAATCAGCCAATCAGCATAAGATTTCAATCTAAAGGAGACCAAACACATGTCACAGAATGAAGGAATCAACCAAAACCAGAAAAATCTGTTGTTAGGGTTGCTCGATCACAGAAGGGGGTGCAGCCAGGCAACCCTGACATCTGTAGTATTTTTAGGAAGAATCCACAATCAAATCTATGAAAAAGGTACATTCAATAGTAGCGATCAAATAAATAAAGTGAGAGAAAGTCTACATACTGTATGCATTACATCGCTGTATGAAGCATCAGAGTTGTGAGTGTACAACCACAGACCTTTGCTTGACAAACCTCTCTCTGATTCCGGTCTGTACCTCAACTGTTCCTATCCATAAATAAACAAACAAATAAATCAGTAAAGGTTCATTCCCCAGTTTATTTTCCAAAGCTTTAGGTCACATTCTGTCACATTTATCAGTGGATAGTTTTTCTGTTTCTATGGAGACAGTTCAATCAAATGTTGGAAAGCTGGTTGTAGACAGTGGTTATTACGCAGTATGGTTGAAAACTCTGGAAGAAGAATACTAAGTGGACCTTGAGGTTTTCTGTTTTTTAAAGGGTTTATCAGCTAATCAAATAATCATTTCAACACTAAACTCACCACTTGTGTAGCTGCCATTGAGATCCTGCTGTAACTTTTGCTACCAGTGACCTCAGCTCACAGTCCTTTAGTAACCATTCTGGAGCTTTTGATTGTGTTACACTTCCTCAGTTTACCCATGGAACTTGTTGACTTTTCAAATTTACGCTTTTTCTGCAGCAGTTTTTAAGGATGTCTCATTCATTTTATTGCTTAAAAGCTGAGACTTAAAGTTTCAGTTCTTGAACAATCTCACCACAAAATCCATTTCGTAGCCGTTCTGAAGCTTTTGATCAAATCACACTGTCTTCTTCATAATGACAACACAATAATACATTGTGTAAATAAATTTAAAAAATTATCTTGTTTTTGTTTTTGTTTTACCTTGTAATATTTGGTTGTTAACTGAAAATGTGAATAAAAAAATACATTTGTATTATTTGTATGAAACTTGTGACAACATCTGTTTCCAAGGTCAAAAATAAATTCTCAGCTCTAGTTGTAACATGACAAATTGTTGCAATCAGTGCAACAATTTGTCATGTGGTAAGAGGAAACATGAACACTCTTGCCAGCTTTGAGTGAAAGGCATGTTCTTCAATACGAATGATCTCTGGCTCAACATAAGCTAAAAACCAGGGCATTCATCAAATACTGTAGGTATTCATATCATTCTATGTTTCTACCCAGTAAACTCTAGACTGTTATGGGCAGTCAAAATACCAAATTGGCAAACTATCAATTGATGTAAAACAAAACAAAACAACTAAAAGAAAAGATGCAAAAAAACCAAACCAAAGTAAATTAAGACTTCTGAAAGCAGAATCCAATGACAGATGTGGTGCAATAAAGGTCTTTTATTGCAAACAAAGAAATGCTCAGAAACTCTCAAGAACAAATACAAAAATGCAGTGAAAACAGGATTGAGGCATCTCAGATAAAACTACAAACTCAAAAAATATGTTTTTTCCCCCCAATAATAACAATAAACAACCAGCATATTTACAGAACAATATTTTCTATGAATCTGGCTTGCCTAAATTCCCAGTGAAAGTTTACTCATTACTTTTCTCAGTAACCAGCTTGTTACATGTCGTTACAAGGCATGACATTCAACAGTTTTTCTATTTTGATGTTTTGATAACAGTAAATCTTGAAATATCAAGACAGAAGACGTGGTAATGGACCACCCAGCCCTCCTCTTTAATGATATCAATATCCTTTACATGAATCCTTTCATTAATTGTCATGTTTTTAACATTTCTGTGCATTGCCCATCCCATCTAAGGCACCAACTATTCAGTAGGGGAGTCCAAAACAAACTGTACATGAACACTTAAATCAAACTGAGAGAACACCTAATCCTTCACTAAGCTATTAGCATTATGTACATGTATATGAACATTAGAGATGAAAACCAATGAGTGTAGTTGGGAGCAAATAACTTAAATGCAACTAGATGAACAAATCTTTCTCAAAAAGGACACAAACATAGTGAAGCAGAGACTGGAGGGGAGACAGCAGTTGGCATGGAGCAACTTCCCCAAATAAGAAACAATTAAACAGCTATAAATCTGTCCTTCAGTCATAAAAAAAAATGTATGCACACAGACATGGATGGGCTATATACATCACTGCGTTTAAGCACTTTTCATTGCCAAGTGTGATGAGAATTAAAGCTCAAAGTTTGAGGTGAAGACTGATCTCTGAATATGGGCTGCAGTGGCAGATGTGCCGTGGCTGCGTGCATGTGTGTGACATTGAGAGTGGGAGTGAGCTGAGGAGATTAAAGTAGTTTATTCTCAGACATCTAAACCTTCAACCAAAGCCCTGGTATGACATACTGAGGGTGGTGGATTTAAAAAAAGAAATAATGTGCACCCACAATCTATAAAACCCCAATATCAGAGGAGGAGACCTCAAAATATACCCAACCCCCTGTGCTAATCTCACTGTAATACACATATAAGTTTACTTCTTCTAGCAACAAACAACCTGATTGACTAAATGGGGATCTGCTTTCCCTTTCATGTGAGGCCACTCTGATCCACGTATCATTCCTGAGGAAACAAACAAAACAAAAAGGAAGTGCAAGGTCAAATCATCAGTGAGATGAGATCACCAATTCACTGATTATGTCAACTCTTTTGTTTCAATTTTCACTGGGTCTGTTGTTTGTACAAAAAGAAAAGAAAAATCCCTTAAGGAGCCATTACACAGAAAGCCCTAACCTAGAAACGTCTTAAACCTATTTTTTCAATCATGGATTAAATTTCTAGTTTCCATGATCGCTGTCTATCCTCAAGTGAGCTGCTGAGGAGCAAATCCCCAACATTACAGCCTGTTATGTGATCAGCCACTTACACTGTATCCAAGGTACTGGAATACCCAGACTTCAAATGCATATAAACTGACGCTGAAGGATTTGTTTATTGCTCCTTTTCTGTTTTTTCCCCATAAGTATTTTGCTTGCTTACCACCATGAATCACGACTGTGGAGTGTTTAGTGGCAGCAGTGAAACTGTTTGTGGTTTATGAAGCCACATAACGTCAGATGATGACAGCTGTTATAGTCGCATCTGGTATTTATAACACATCGCTTTGATCCCATGCTTAAATAAAAACTATAATGACCAATTGGTGCTAGTCTTGCAGACAGAAATCAGAGGATAAGGAGGAGGGGAAATGGAAAAGACAGTGATGCAGCCTGTTATCATGGCTAAGTGGAGAAGGCTAAGGCCTGGTGGGCTTTCTCTGATGCTTGCTGACATCTGCAATAACAAAATTGTGCTTTTTTTCATTGTAAGAATGTGACTGGATTAACATCTCAATACTGATAGCAGTGTATTTGGGTTAAAGTTGTAATCCTTAGTATGTCAACTCAAAAAGCATTTTTGATGCTTGGAATTCTTTTATTGCTGCGGCAATTTAACTTTTCTATAATCATCTCTCTATAGTAGTTTTTCCATTGTTACTGGCGGAGTCTGCCTTTCCTGCACTGGATTCAGATTGTCCACCAAAGTGGGAAATGTTTACAGGTTTAAAAAAAAAAAAAAACAAAAAACATGAATGTAATCAAGCGTAATTTCATCGGCCATGGTGTACAGTTCATTCTCTTCATACAGTGCCAGAGCTGTATTAAGTCACAAGAAAACACAAAGTACACACCACCACGGTTAGTGCTGATTGTAATCGTTCATCAACAACGGGCCTCATCAAGGTGGTTGTTGTGTTAAAAACTACCCGGCCATGTGGCGTGTGTGATCGGATCATGTTTGCAATTATTTTTCATTAAATTAATGATCAAAATGTGACTTTGTTAGGCTGCACTATTATCAGATACAGCTGGTGCTCCTTTGCTATTTCTGACAAAGTAGCTGTTCAAGGAGTGGCTGATGCAGTATTAAACCACACTTGCTGTTACTACAGTAACCATGGGTGTCACCAAATCAACCAGAACTGAAATGTTAAGGATTATCTGTAAAACAATAAGATGAACTGTAGCTGAAACAAAGAGTGACCTCTCTCTGTGTCAGGCAGCTGGCATGCCTTTGGATTATACTCCAAGTTTGAAAAAGCTAATGAAGAACTTGACCAAAAGTTTGTGAGGCACAAATTTTTTTTTCACGTTTTTTGTTTTTTGTTTATTATTGTGATGTACTACTGTAACATCAGTCATCTTCCTTTTCCCTCAGGATGGTGCCTGTAAAATTCTCCCTTTTAATCATGTGATTTTCCCTTTAAATTGATGACACATTTTGTTTCCTAAAAAATCATGCAATATAATTTGCTTTAAATACTGGTCACAGCCATGATAAATATTTCACCGCTGTAAGCAATCAAGAGGCCACTTTTAAAATGCCACAGAAGCGAGCAGAGCTCAGTCAGTCGTGGATATAAATACTTCACTAACAAGGGTCTGAAGGCCTAACCTGTGTTAAAGACAGGAGAAAACACAAACAAGCAGAATACAAAACCTCATTCACATCAGCTGAAACTTCACTGTACGCCAAAGTCTCTTAAGCTTACACAGATATCACTGAGGCGCTCCGGCATATTTATAGCTCCTTGAAATGCTACAAAAGTGTAATACAATCCACAAACATGTCCTTAAGGTTAAGTGGTTACAATCAAGGCAGAGCAGTATTATTCAAAAAGCTCACTGTGAAACTGAGCTGAGAAATTGTATTCATCCTTTAACTGAAATGACAAATCTGTCACTTATTAAATTATTCTCAGTCAGTCATTTGTCCATTTCTCTTTCACTCCTTTCTTCAAACATACCACTCCCTGCGTGAGATCACAGATCCGTCCATGTGGGACACATAGTCGCTGTCTGTACCGTTGTCAAAGCAGTCCTCCGGGAAGTAGGGGGAGCCATTGTTCACTATTGGGCTGTGCACAGGGGGCGCACAGGGGTGCATGTTTTGGATGTTGTAGTGATCAGGGTAGTAGTTTCCCTCCTTGACACCCCTGTGAGCTTCCCCCCTATCAGGCCAATCATCCCTATTCTTATGTTCAGGGGTGTAGTCGGGGTAAATGATGTCTCCGCCCAGTTTGGGTTTCACCTCCTGGCTGCCCTTGCTCGTCTTGTCCCCATAGACCTCCTGCAGCTCATGTGGCTGCAGCACATCCAGCTGAGACTCCTTCTGCATGTCGGATGGTCCCAGGTACTGTTTGGTGTAGTAGTCTCCTCTGAAGGTTCTGCGCTGGCGCATAAAACACGCCCCACCTAAGATCAGCAAGAGGATCAGGAACAGAACTCCACCCACTGCCCCTCCAATTATAGTACCCAGGCTGTCAGGTAAGGAGGCCAGGGGCGGAGAGGTGAACAGGGCTCTTTGCTGATCTACCGCAGTGCCGGTTCTCAAGGTGTCTTGGAGGAGTGATGCAGTGGTGCTGGGGGCTGCTGTGTGAGGCGGAGGATCTGCAGTATGAACATGTGATGAAAAGATTTAAACCAGAGGGGAAGAACAGCAGATGAAGTGAAGTCATAAAACTGAAAAGGAGAAAGACTGCACTTTATGTTCTGTAATGATTGACGAAGCACGTCCGAATGGCTTTTAGATTACTTTATCAAAGCCCTGTGCAGTGTCAGAGCAGAGACATTCCTCTCCTGAGACCAAAAAATCTGTTGAAAGCTGTGCTGTAGAGCAAAAACAAGGAGTTAAGAGGGGTAGAAAGAGGTTAAGGCACAATGTCATTGTTTGTGTGAACATAAGAGAGAGGGGGGATAGGAGAACAGACGACTCATGAGCATCTGAGTGAGTGTGATTAGCTTTCTAAACCCTGCTATAGGGAAGTCATGTGGGAAGATGCAGCACTGTGATCAATGTAAGGTTACTGCATCTGATTTATCCTCTGGCAGTATTTGTGATAGCAACCAGAGCCAGAGGAAAAAGGCCTGTGTGGAGCTCAAGGTCAGGAAATGTGTCTCCAATCTGACCTCCAGTCTCTGGGGCTAAGAGCAGCCTGATACCAATAGTCGATCTCTGCAAAGGCACATCAAAGGCCTGGCTACAGAGCAATATGATTCAAACTAATAGAGGTCTGCATCTCCAGGAGGTTTTTAGGTACTAGTTATCAGAACCGGAATCCTCAGAGACCTTATAATGATTTCCACAATTTGTGCAACTGAGTAAGAATCTAATTACTTGCAATTATAAACTGTGTTTGAGCCTGAAGGATCAGGGATAAAGTCAAAGCACAAGAGAGGAAAATGGAGATAGATCAAGGTCAGTAGGCTGATATACTGGCAATCGTTTCCTTTGTCATTCACCATCAATCCAACCCTGCAGCAGGACATTTTAACCTCATCTAAGTTATGAGCATCTGCAACCATGTAGCTGATCACGAGAGAGACACATAGCCAAAAACCACAAGGTTGCAGAGACAACAGGGAATGTGAAACAGCTCCACTAAGCAGCAATTGGGGGGGCATATAACTGAGTTCAACATGGCTATCTCCTCAGGGAAGGGAGGTGAAAGGCTGCATGCCCAAGTCTTAATATTTGACACGAGAAGCACATAGTTGCTCAGTGCAAGTCTGTTGTGGACAGGATGTCAGCTGTGCTTTCAGTTGGAGCAGGACTCCAAACCAGGCCTGAACACAGATGGAGCCTGACAGTGTCTTTTGGAGCTTCTCCAGCTTTTTCCTCTTGACAGTGAGAAACCAAAAGGCCTGTGTGTGTTAGCGGAGTACGTGTCCAAAAGCAGCAGTTGCTTTGTTTGGAAAAGGATTAAAAGAAGCATGGGAGAAATGAAAATAAAAGATGCACAGTTCTCAGGATCCACGCCCTGACTCCACAATAATGAACTTAAGTAGCAAACCATGACAGGCAGAGGAAGCAGACGGGAGTAGTTTATTATCCTGTGACTTTTCTGACAAAGACTTATGTCAACGAATCAAGAGCATTTACCAATTCCAAATGCAGGGAAACCCCCTTTTCACTGTTGCAGAGAAGTCCCCTCTGTACTGTAACTTAAGGGGCTATTAGTTTTAATCTACAAAGTATTGAATTAAACTTCAGCACATTTTATACTGCTTTAACAGTACAGTATAATGCTCAACAATATATTTTATGGAGTACACATAAATACTTCTATGTACTGCAAATCTGGGAACACAATTTATTATGCCCTGCTGCTAAGCCTGACCTTAAACAAAACAAACAAACCAACAAACAAACAAACAAAAGGCTGCATGGGTGCATACTTTGCTGAAGTAGCAGGGATAAACATTGTTTCTTATCTGAGAAATCTAATGTTGCCAAAACCACAACACTGGAAATGTTTGGTACTGATACTCTTTATCTGCACTCTATGCTCCTCTGTTGCCAGGAATGTGTGAAAGTGGATCTGGGCTTGGACATTTATACAGAGGCTCAGCTCTCTTCCAAGTGTTGAACTAAGGGCTGATCACACTGAGGGGGAAATCTTGCATCAGAAAGGCACAATCAATGTCAAAAGGCACAGATTTCTCTGTTAATTAAAGGAATTTATTTAAGGAATCAGATCGCTAAAAGCATGCATTGACACTTTACTAAACTGAGTAACAGTGTACCTTGTACCCAGAGGTTTACATCCTGACTGCGGACACCAATGTCATTCATCACTTCACAGCGATACACTCCAGAGTCACTGCGCTCCAGCGGACGAGTGAAAGCAAAGCTACTGTTTGAGATCTCAACACTCTCAGGCATCGATCCATCCAGCCTGCACAAAAATGAAATAATAAAACATCATAAATAATACAGTGTATAATACACCATACACACACATGCAGAGAAAGCAAACTTTATACATTGTTATTTCTGTTTTAGAAGGCATAGCTTTTAAAGCATGAATGAAAGTACCATCCATGACTTGTAATGATATATCACTGCTCTGTGGGTTCAGTTGGTCTGTTCGAACTATTAAATGATCACGACTACAATAACTTGACACTGTACTTCTATTGGTTGAGGGGAAAAGATTTCATCATGAACACAAAGTTTCAACATCAGGGCAAAAAAAAAGATGGAACAAAAATAGAAAATAAAGAGCTTGGCTGTCTAGATCTCTCTAGTACCATCAGCTGCAATGAGACCATATTTCTTGTTTTCAAAGCAAGATGATGACAAAGAGCTGCCAGTGCACCAGTGCTGCTCTGATGAATGAACCGTTTGGAAAGTTTTATTTATAGCAGGGAATCTTCCCGATTGGTGCAGCAATGCATTTGACAGCTCCAGTGTCCGGGCTCCAAAGATATGCTGGAGGTAATTTATAGACATACGCTTCTTTGACGCTTTATTTAGTAGTAGTAGTAGTATTTGCTATCACATTAGTTACTTAATAGGCATGTTCCCTTTGCCTGTTTGTTGTCAAGTGTTAATCAACAAAACAAACCGGTGGTAAATTCAGCCAAGTTCCAGTACACCCCAGTAAACTCAGAGTGAGATTTCACTTGAACACAAGATGAACTTGTCCAGGGTAAAAGGGCTTTTTTTTAGTGTTTTATATCATGTTATGCTATTTATCATTAACTGCTGCCAACCTGAAGAAAATATAAAATGATTCTCTCAGCTTTATGAATCAACAGCAATCTGAATGCACCCTCTTCTAATGACTGACTGCCCTCTAATAGCACAGAGAGCTGCAAAACATATAACAGTTGTGCCCTCCTAAGTTACAACAGAGCAAGCTGGCACAATGCAAGACATTCTGACAAAGTATATCAGCTTGTTTTGACATATTCTGTACTGAAAGGTGGAGTTTTAGGAGGTGACATCAGCACTAAGCAGTAGCTGAGAGTCTATGAAGGATGCAGGCCCTCTAAATTTAAATGAGTATATGGACAGTGTTCAAATACAGTATATGAAAATGTTGGTATAACAATAAAGAGTATCAGGTGGACTTCATCATCATCATCATCACAAAACTTTGCAGCATCTAAAGACTGTTTTCCATCCCAATCCGCCCACATACTGTATTTTACAGTATACAGTCAAGAAACACATGACAAGAAAATGAATTATTCAGACCCTGGAAACATTTGACTTTGTATTTCCAATGACTGGTTAGAGGTTTTCTGCTTCACCTGTATACAGTGAGGTTCTTTTAGAGCCAACACTGAGCCGTCAATAAAGCTGCATTTTAAGGGACTTCTGCATTAGCTTCAGCATTCAGCTGTGGCGGTGTTTGAATATGGTTTGTATTTTGTTTGCAGTTATTATGACATTCTTGCTACACCTATCTTCACTGGTCAGAAGAAAATCTACTCAAATATTGCTCTCAGGGATCAAATCTTCAGAAAGATAAATGATCTTTGAACTGGAACCTTTTTCCACAAGGCATATTCTGGTGATACTGACCTGATCCACGAGAAATGACGAACAGGTGGATTGGCTTTGGCACCACAGAACAACTTCACATTTTCTTGACCCACATACCAATTTTTGTCAGCTCCAATTATGGATACCATTGGTGCAACTGTAAATCAAAATAAGACAAAAGGTTATGATGAAAGCATTTGTATTATTACTTACTTATTATTTATTACTTTCTTGAAATAGTAAGGGTCATGCTGACCAGAGTTTGTTTTTATTTTTTCAAAAGGTAAAAGAGTAGGACTTAATAATCAGTCACTGTGATCAGTCTGATGACAAATAAGGAACAAAGTGTGCATTATAAGCACAGTAGCGTGCGATAACAAAAGGCTGTGCAGGACTGTAGCAGGGTAC